GGGATAAGGGGGGGGAAAAAGAAAGGGGGCATTACGATTAGCATGTATAGTATGGTGGGGGCACAGGGAGGGCTGTGCAACACAGAGAAGACAAGTAGTGATTTTACAGCATCTTACTACGCAGATGGACCATGACTGTGAAGGGGTATGTGGGGGGAACTTGGTGAAGGGGGGAGCCTAGTAAACATAATGTTCTTCATGTAATTGTAGATTAATGATACCAAAATAAAAATAATAAAAAATAAAATTAAAAAAAAGCAGGAGGGTTTCCTTGGAATAACACAGAATAGTTTATGTTTAGACTAGGCCTTTTCTCAAACCAGTCATATGCATTCAAAAGGTCCATAAGTTTAGACAGGAAACTGTCCTTTGTTCATCAGTCTTCTTCATCCTGTGTGTGTGTAGTGGGGGCTCACTGGGATTATCCAAGGGCCTCTGAAACATCCTCTGTGAGCACAGGGATGGATGAGGCACCAGCTGCCAGGAAGCCAGAATGTGCAGCTTCACAGAAAGGAAGTCCCTGGCAGGTTTGCTCCCCTGGCGGCAAGCGCCCAGCAGCCCTGCTGCCTTGTGATAAAGAAGCACAGTCGGCCAGACTTGGAGAGTGGTGGATATTTCCAAGTACACATGTTGTGGTCTCAGAAACTTTGTTGATACCAAATTACAAGGGAAAAGGTCAACATTTCCTGTCCTACCATTATGGAAAGAGGAAATCACCACAAAGCAGATATAGTCCATGTAAAACAAATTTCTATTCATTTTAACAATAAATCTTAAGAGAACTGAACTGTTTTCTTTGGTGTTGGTCTCTAACAATTTTCAGTGTCTGAGGAGCTTCTGCTTTGTTAAATATCATGACATTATGTCCAATGTATCTGTGGCCGATGTTTATAAATCCGATGTTTCTTAGGCAACCCACCCTTTGGTTGTTCGTTTGCGATGATTGATTAGCCAACAGACTGGACATTTGTAACAGAATGTATCTCTCTCTGAACTTACACCTGAAAACCAGAAAGTTCATTATCCTGCTTTAGCCCCATAAATAGCTAAGTAAATACATGTATAGGATTTTAACCTTGTCTCTGTGAAAATAGATTCTCTAAATTATTTTTTTCCATTTACAGATATTTGCAAATCTGGATCCATCCCTTCTGATGTGGAGAAGAGCTTACAGTTGGAATGGCCCTTCCAGGAGCAATTGCTACTTACAGAACAGTATCAGAAAAAGTTCAAGAACAGCACCTACTCTAGTAAGAAATGAAAAGCACCCTGAAGGTGCTCCAGCCCCCAAAATATTTGGATAGCTTGAACTTGGGCTTGACTCTAATAAACCCTGCAGCAGCTGTGTAAAGCTGCATCATACTCAGCGAATGTTATCCCTAGTTAGCGTGAAACTTCGAACCCAAAATTTCCTTTTTTTTCTCTTTTTCACCTGCCTTTGCCTACTAGCTAAGAAATGAATTACAGAAATCAATAATTCACTGGCTAATATTGACCTTTATTGTTCTGAAGGAAGTCTAGGAAGACATGGATACACTTTTCACGTGAAAGTAAAATACAACGTATGAAGAGTAAAATGTGAAAACCATTCACAACTCATTGTCCCTTCCGTCACTCCTCGCAGAAGCAGCCCCTATTAGGAGTCGGTGTATCACCAGGCAGGGGAATCCTCAGTCACACCACACAGTCTTGGCCATGAATGAAGCAGCTTTCTCTTCCCTCTGTGCTCTGCAGATGCAGAACTAGCTCGGCAAACCAGGAATTTATCTCCATTCACTGAAACAGGTTTCTAGTCTTCAAAATGGGATGATGTCATGCAGGGCTTGAAAACAACTGAAACTAGCAATCCTTATTTAACTATGAAATATATTTTATCTGAAAGTTGATGTTTTATACCTAACTAAGGGTTGATGTTGCCCCAGATCTCAGTTAAGGAAATGACCTGCTCAGATTCTCTACAACTGTCTTCTTTTGACTTTTGGAAAATAAATTATCTTGACATTAATTTGGGTTAATCAATATTTCTAAAAAGCACATTATTGAAAGTGAACTATTTTTATAAGATTTTGCTGTACACTATCTGGACTTTAGTGTATCTGATGGATGTTTTATATTTATTTTTTTAATTTATGAAGTACAGAAAAAAATGACACAAAAAGTAAAAAAATAGGTTATATGTTAATAGATAATGAAGTCCTCTAAATTAATTTTTTGCATTTTAAAGAAAGGTGGGGGAGCTACTCTGTTGCTTTAATAACATGATCTATGGTTGAATGGAATCTGGTGTAAGGCAGGACCGTCTCAGATCCCACTAAAGAGCCACAGCAGTAAGGTCTCATTTGTAATAAATCATTATGCTACAGGCCTGCTAGGAAAAGACTCCATGGTTTTGGGTAGTTTGTAGATTCCTACTTTTTTTTATCATGTTAAATATTATACTAATTTATGTTTAATTTTTCTAAAAAAAGATATGCTACTCCACATGACCTTTCTGTAACCAAGATAGGAGGTTTCTAACATCTTTTCCTGCCTCTGGGTTTTGGACCTTCATAGCACCAGGGAAGCTTCCTTTGCTAACCATGTAACTGGGTCAGTATAACTCCAGCCACCTCGTTGGCAATGCTAAAATGTATAACAAATGGAGACAGTTGACTTGTATTTGGAAACATTTGACTTCTGGTTTGAAATTTTCTATTTTAATCTGCACATCTTGGAAATATGTAAGTAGGAATCTACTGTGTTTAGCCTGGGCACCAACTCATAATGATAAGTATCTCAGAAGCCAGGAGGTATTTCCGTACATTGCTCTGCATCCATGGCTGAGGTTGGAAATGCCTGAGTACTTGGAGTGGTATCATACAATGGGGAAGACAGAGCAAAAGTCTACTGTGAAAAGAATATGTTAATTGCTTAGTGGCCTGAACCCTTAAAACAGGTGTTCTGGAAGATATAGGTTAAGTTTTCTAATTACAGGACTCATTATGCTGTATTTAACTTAAGTAGAAGATGACAAAAACATCTGTCATGGGAATATAAACACGCTGTAAACCTGTTTGGGCAGGAGAAGGAAGCAGTGTTATAGATGTAATTCTGGATGTGACTGCACAAATGAGGACGTCCTTGTTAAGATAATCCTATTTAGTGAGCTAATTCCTTGCTGTCCTTCTCCACCTCTCTTCCTCATCACCCAATGCCACCCCCCCAACACGCACTCCCATCCTGGATGCTGGACACACATAATGTGAACATACAGGCTTAATGCCAGGGAGAGTCAGTGCCTGTTTTTAATGACATTTAGATTATCTTTGTCCCAGAGATAAGGGATTGGATAATGATTGGATATCGACTAATTATCTATGACTTTTGTTATTATTATTACTTGAGAAGAGAGTAGGGTGGGTGCGTTTGTGTTTTTTTTAAGAGTCGATTTGAACTCAGCCCCACCTTTTATTTTAGATGATACTGTTAAATTATAGGAAGCTTATGATGGAATTTCAAGCTATGCAAATTCTAAGTGCATTTGGAAAAATGAAGAAATAGATAAAGAGTAAATTATGAGCTGGATAAATACTGTAAAATGCAAATGTTCCAGGTTTTTTGAAAATGCCAGAATCTTTGTACAGAGGCTAGGCAGCAGTAATAGTGCTGTATATCTCTAAGGGTGTTTTATGGTTTGCAAAGGGTTCTCACATGTGTGGTGTCAACCTTGGTTATGTGAGGAAGGTGTATGTGGATTGCTGCTTCCCAGATTACAGATCTGTAGCTGAGGCTCATGCAGGGTAAAAGGGTCACCCCTGATCTTACAGTCTGTAAGTGAGAGAGCAGGGCCTGCAGCTCAGATCTTATGAATCCTGGTCCAGGAAACTTTCTACAACATGATTTTATCACATGTCTACCTACAGTATACCATGTCTACGGCACTGAGTCATGCCTTTGCAACAGGCTCTATGAATGGCACTGCCATCAAAGAGCTGAGTGGTACTGGGCAAAGCACTTCAATTCTTGAGTATTAGTTTCCTCAGCCACGGCTCCAGATCCAGGGGCATGCTGGGCTGCAGGACTCCAGAGCTTTTCAAACCCTAATGTCTGTAAGCAGGTGCCAGAGCAAACATCAGAAACACCTGAAACAGCTTGCTACAGTCATTTCTGCCTCTCAGCCTTTATCAGCAACATTAAATCTAGGGTTTCACTGTTCTGGTGATCTGAATAACTCAGGCTGGAGATTTAGAAAGAAAACAAAAACAAACCCATTTTTAAGGAGAAAGGGTGTAAGTTTGCCAGGGATGGCTGATGGCAAGTAGAGTTTTTTTTAACCCAGAAGAATTCAAGAGTGAATTTCTACTTAACAAATAACCAAATATATTGGTTATTTGTTATCTCAAAAAAAATCATTATTATACATACGATAAAAAGATGACACTCAAAATGATATTGTTTTCACTCTCAAGAAGTGATTATAGACTAGCTAATGTTTGGAAAAGTTGAGCTCAAAACTTCTCAAGTTTTTATGGCACTTTTTTCACAGCATACCTAGCCCATAATAAATACCTAAGAGCTTCAGTTATTAAGTTGTTAGGTCCAAACAACCTAATAGTAATTCTTGTCACGTCCAACAGATGTGATGGGTTTCTCTTGCAAACTTAAGAGATCCTGCAGTGCCCCTGCTGAGTAGGGTTGCCCAGGTACATTTGAATTTCAGATGAAATGCATTTTTTCTGTATTTCTCAAATATTGCATAGGACATACAGTAAAAATTATTCATCATTTATCTGAAGTTCAGATAAATGTCCTGTATATTTATTTGCTTAACCTGACAACTGTGTGGTAAATTCACTGTAGCTCCCCGAGTGCCCTGGCACATAGTTTGGAAACCACAGTCCTATGGCTAATTCTACTAATTTTAAAGTAATAAATCACATACATGCATTTCTCAAAAAAATCTTTTAAATGTAATTAAATTTACCAAAATAGTTTGCAACTGAGTTAGTGAGTAGAGACAGATTATGAAAAGTGGGGTTTATGTTGACTAATGAGGTCCGGTGTGTGCAGGCTGAGCACTGAGCCATACAATAGAGTTTTCCCAGTCCACCTGAGGTCATCTGCACAAAACCTGTGTGCTTGACCAAAGCTTTTGGTACCTTCCATGGGACTTGATTCAACAATTGGAGTAAATGAAATCATATTAGTATTCTTAAATTTTTGTCTTTTATTCATAACTGTAGTCACTCATTAGGACTGGAATTCCTTCAGTTTAACAAGGGACATAGTAATTCATTACAAAGAACAAATCTGGAGACCTTCATTATGGTGGTGCCAACCTAACCCTTAAACTGCAACATTTTTCTTTTAGGAAGCTCAGTGGATATGCTGTATACTTTTGCAAATTGCTCAGGACTAGACTTGATCTTTGGTATAAATGCATTACTCCGAACAGCAGATTTGCAGTGGAACAGTTCTAATGCTCAGTTGCTCCTAGACTACTGCTCTTCCAAGAGTTACAACATTTCTTGGGAACTAGGCAATGGTAAGTGTCCCCCAGGAACATTTCGTTAATAAGGAGATTCTCCCCCTTGACATTATTTGTTCCCATTTATTACATTCTTTTTATTATTAGCAAATATTCTTTTGACTCAACACATTTGTGCCAGTGCTCAACAATGCAACTTTTGGAATTGCTTATGGCTGAAAACTCCTTTATATATCCCAGAACCTATTGCTAATCCTAGATTATGGTGCATTTGGGCTGAGGACAATTAGAATACAGCAACATCCACAGCTCCCAGGTTCCTTGAGATTTTCATGATACTCAGACCTAAATGTCTTGCTCCAACCCAGCCTTGTTTGTTTGCTTGTTTTGAAGTAAATTAAGTTACTAAACACTGAATACAGACTATTTCCCAAATATCTGTTAGTTTTATATCTCCATCATTAACTTCAAATTGTCTTAATAACCCCTCATACCTCAGTTATATAATTAAAATTTTTCTTTCTCTGGAGTATCTTCCTTACAACTAGGGGTTTTACTTTTCTTGACTTTGGATTCTAAGGTTTTGTAATTTGGAAATGTTTTGTTGCTTTTATATGCTGCTGTTATGTTTGATTTTAAATAAACAAAACTAGGTACATGGTTATTTTGAAAAGTGCTGTCTTTCAGAACCTAACAGTTTCCGGAAGAAGTCTGGTATTTTCATCGATGGATTTCAGTTAGGAAAAGATTTTATTGAATTGCATAAACTTCTAGGAAAATCTGCTTTCAAAACTGCGAAGCTCTATGGTCCTGATGTTGGCCAGCCTCGAGGAAAGACTGTTGAGATGCTGAGGAGGTAAGAACTAGAGGAAGCAGAACCATTTTTCTTAAAAATAATATTTTTCTCCAGTGGGGTCCATCAATAGCCCACTTCTTATTAAACCATTTACTGACTAACTAGATGTTTTACCAAAGAGGGAACATTGGCACAGAAGACCAAGGATTTGTGGGCAAATAGCAGCTATGAAAACTTTTTTATCAGAATTAGGAAATTTCTGTTTGCTGGAACCTAAAGTAGTAACAGCCCATTTCTAGGGAACAAAATTCTTGTTCATGTATTGTGCACATGAGGATTAAGTGATAACATAACGGATTTTTTTTCCTAGCTTCCTGAAGGCGGGGGGAAAAGTGATTGATTCAGTTACATGGCATCAGTAAGTATGTTTCCTGACCTTAATACTAAGGAAATAATGCTAGCTTTACTTGTTACCTAGTTTTCAAAAAATTATTTCCATTTAACTGCTAATTGGCCTTATAGTTCAAGTAAGAAACAAAGTGTTTCCAGCAGCACTGTTCTAGAATTTTAGTATTAATAAAACAAAAATTCAAAGATGTGGTGGGGACTTGATAATGGGGAGCATCTAGTAACCACAGTGTTGCTCATGTAATTGTATTTTAATGATACCAAAATAAAAAAAAATTCAAAGATTAAGGCACATTACCATTTAACTCATGGAACAGATACCAAGCTAAAGCCGGCATGCTTGCCAAAGAATGGGTAACCCATGAGTATCCACACTGGTGACTGTGTCTTCTCAGGACAAAGTAACTGAACCCCTTCCACCTTGATCTCTGCTTAGTAGAACATCTGCCTTTTTTTTTTTTGAGAGGGCATCTCTCATATTTATTGATCAAATGGTTGTTAACAACAATAAAATTCTGTATAGGGGGGTCAGTGCTCAATGCACAATCATTAATCCATCTCAAGCCTAATTCTCGTCAGTCTCCAATCTTCTGAAGCATAACGAACAAGTTCTTACATGGTGAACGAATTCTTACATAGTGAATAAGTTCTTACATGGTGAACAGTACAAGGGCATTCATCACAGAAACTTTCGGTTTTGATCACGCATTATGAATTATAAACAATCAGGTCAAATATGAATATTCGTTTGATTTTTATACTTGATTTATATGTGGATCCCACATTTCTCCCTTTATTATTATTATTATTTTTATTTTTAATAAAATGCTGAAGTGGTAGGTAGATGCAAGATAAAGGTAGAAAACATAGTTTAGTGCTGTAAGAGGGCAAATGTAGATGATCAG